TCTTTCCCATCAGTGCCCCATGTGCCCAAGTGCTTCAACTCACCCTTCAGTCTCCAGCCCTGAGCAGCCCTGCTGCTCCACGTGGTTCAGGGACCCAAGCTGCAGGCGCCCCTAGCCCTGAGCCTGCGCTTCCCCACGGCCTGGGGAAGGGGCTGCCGAAGGGAGTGGGGACCTAGAGCCACAGCTATTGCAGGTGGAGCAATGGGGGAAGCAAAGGCTAGGCAGGAACCCAGGGAACCATGCATTAACCCATTCCCAGGTCTCCAGCTGGACAGCCCTGAGCAAACCGGGGAGCGGGTCTGGCCTCACCTGTGACTGCTCAGCTCCTTCTCCCCTCAGCTGAGGCAGATGCAGTGGCCATGAAAGCGCAGTGGGCTCAGCTGGGGAGGAGGTCGCTTGGTGCCCATGTGCTGGGAGAAGCTTGGGGGCCGCTGCAGTGCTGGGGAGGGGCAGATCCCTGCTGGGTCTTGGGGAGCCCCCAGAAAAGACCTGAGCTGCAACTGGCTCCTCTCCTGAGCTTGCGATGCTTCAAGGGCTCCTTGGTGCAGCCCTGAGCTGCTGAGATGGACCCCAAGCGGGGAAGAGACTTTGCTGACGGAGCCCCTGACCTTGCGGGGAGGGATGATGGCTGTCAGAGGGCTCAGGGATGGGGAAGTACCCCCCTCTCCATACAGAGGGGAACTGTGTTTGCGCATGAGGATGTCTGCACCATGGCTCCGGCCCCCCAGGAAGATGGAGGGGTCCTCACTGGGAGGCCCAGGCCTGGCTGCTCCCTCTTCTCCCTTTCCCTGCTGCTGGGTGAGGGGCTTTGACAGAGGCAGTCGCGGCCTTGAGTCTATTCTCCTCCCTCCAGCCCTCCATGCCTGCTGCGAGGATCCTGCCCCGGCTTCTCTCTCGAGATGAGCAATGGCACGTCCTCCAACTCGGTCTGCAAGCATTAGTAGATGTCATCAGGCCGAGGGTCTGCCCCCTCTGAAACAGGGATACGGTAGAGGAGCAAGGCTGCCTGCAGGCTTGTGAAGAGCTGAGTGTATAACTTGGATCTCCAGGTGCCAAGGCCTGTGTCTGTCCTGGAAGCCCCTGTGTGCTTGTTTCAGCTCCTGCTCTGGAGGGCAGGGCTCTGGCACCAAGGGAAGGGCAGACATGAGGCTGTATTAGCTGGCTTGGGAGCCTAAAGGAGGTCTCCAAGATGAATGTCTGGCAGCATGAAGGCTCTGCCCTAGCTTCGGCTGAGCTGCAGCCCATGTGCTCAGTGACCAGGGGGACCAAAGAGCCCTGCAAACTCTGCCCGAACATTTCCAGGGCTCTGTGTGACCCCACTGCAATCCCCCCTCCATGCTAGAGGTGCACTGAGGTGGTGCAGGAAAGGTCTGGGGAAATGGGATCCTTTGGCATACGGTGCCCTTGAGCCTGCTGGAGGAGGGGCTGCGCCAGCTGCGGCGAACGCAGGCAGCTCGTGCCTAGCAGCGATGCTCTTCTGTGCATCAGGGAATGCCCCTGGGTCAGCTCCAGCCGGGCAGATCAAAGTCCACCGCAGGTCTGCAGGCAGCCCTGAACATCAGCTGGCACGTGGTGCGAGCTCACGCCTGTAGGGAACGTTTTATGTGCCCAGAACAGCACGTATGTCGGGGCTGTAACAGCCCTGGTAGGTCATGCGGATCACGGCACAGCTGCATCCGTCCAGGTTGCTCGAAGCAGCCCGGCGTGTTCGTCTTCGTGCCACACGAGGGAGCTGAGCACGCGCCGCCAGAGGCTCCGAAACATTTCCCTGCGACTGGCAAACCTCGCTGGCTCTTTTGGGGCAGTGCCCATCTGTGGGTGTGGGGGAAGCGGTGTACTGTGGCCACTCCTGGCATCTGCCCAAGCTTTTGGGGTACGTGGGACCAAACCTCCAGGCAGGCTGTGGGGGAGCCTGATGGGGAGCCGGGTCTCTGGGTTTGCTTTAAAGGGGACCCCTTGGTCCTCTGGACAGGGCTGTTTGAGCCCGGCCAGCTCATTACACCTACGTCCTCTTTACTACTCCCCCCCCCCCCAAGCTTCTGGTGCTGGCCAAGGGAGCATACCCAGCAGATCTGCGCTGCAGCCATTGCAGCTCCCTGCTCTCCCAGGGGAGGCATCGGTCAGGCCCACAGCCTCCTCTGAGGAGGGGGCATCCTGCACGGCGTCCCCCTCCCGGGTCACGGCCTGCGGAGGGATGCAATAAGGATGCGAGCACGAGGCAGGCAGCAAAAATGGACCCCTCAGGCCACGGCTGGTGCTAGAAAAGGGTCCTCTCTTACACACACTCTTAAATACAGTCCCACGCAGATAAATACAGCCCCGGGGAGCAGCGAGGGAGGGGACTGTGTTCCAGTCCTCAGTCACATTAGGGCCCTGCACAAGGCTCTGGTGGGGAAGGCCTCCAGGAACCGGCCATTTCCCTGCATCCTCCAGGGAGGGCCAGGGGCCAGAAGCAGGACGAGCTCCAGTGGCAAGGAGTCCCTGGAGATGCTGAAGGGTCAAGCTGGAGCCGTCCCGGCCTGGTACAGCGGGGCAGAGGGTAGGGAGACCTGCCCCCCAGGTGCATCTGGCAGGCCCCTGCTCCCCAGTCTGGAGAGCCCAGTGAGACCCCCTGAAGGGCTGGCAGGGTGCAGGGGGGGTCAGGCATCTCCAACAGGGTCCGGCCCTCAGAGCACTTGCAGATCCCATCTCTGCGTGGGCCTCTCCTCAGCCACGTCCCAGAGGACGGCGTGGTCCCGGTCGTAGGACTGGCCCCCTGTGCGGAGAGAGGAGGGCACTCACTTGGGGGAAGGGCGGGGAGGTTGTCCCTTCTCTCTCCTCCGTCCCGTCTCCCCGAGACCCACCTGCCTCGTGGGGCTGGTTGCTGCTGCCAGGATGCATCCCGTGGCAGCTGGGCCCTGTGCCCTCTCCTCTCACTGGTTTCCCACCAGGCAGGGACGTCTCCCCAACCCCCCCAATCCCTACTCCTGCCACGGGGAGAAACAGCCTCCCCCGGTCCCAGCTGATGGGGACCTGGACCATGTGTGGGATCCCAGAGCCCCCCATGCTCCAGCCACATCCCTGGGGGTTTGGGAGAGGGACTGAGTGCCTGAGAAGCCCCCAGGAGCCTGGAGCAGCGTGGGCCCCAGTGCAGGCAGGCCCCACTCTCACCTTTCACATCCAGGATCCTGTCTTCAAACATCTGGCTCCAGATGCGCCCAGAGTCATCAATTCTCCAGGTCTGGCGGGGGACGCGGGTCTCGGACCACAGCACCACCTTGGCACCTTTTCCCGCAGGGCCGATCACCTGGAGGCTCATGGTGGGGGCCACCTGGAAGCAGGCAGGGTCAAGGCCATCAGCCCCGGGCCATGCCAGGCGCAGAGCCGCAATGGGGAGGGAAGCTCCCACCAGGGCAAAAGCCAAGGGGCATCGCCCTGCCCGTGTACCCCCGATAGCACTTGGTTGCCCTACCCCGTGGAGGAGGAGCACCCGCCACCCTGGAGCGCATGGGAGTCTCATGCTGCCAGGCCAGGCCAGGCCAGAACCAGGGACCCGCTGCCACGTACCCACAGCAAGCCCCCAAACCATGCCTCCACCCATCTGCCCACAGAGGCTGGGGGTGGCTGAGGGCTACCCAGGGTTGTCACAGCCACACACACACACCAGTTCAGGCTGATGCTGGATCTGGGGGGCTTCTGCCTTGGACCCGAGATGCACCCACAGCCAGGACCATCTAGGGCCCTTGAAGTCCCTCCAAGACCCCGACGACCCTGCCCATGAGCTCGGACCTGGTTTTTGAGGAGTCCCTCCTCGTAGTACCAGACGGTACTGCTCTGCTCGCCGAGGGCTGAGGTCACCACGCGCCCAGCTTTCATGTCCTCCACGTCATCCGGCACGGACAGGAAGAGCTCCAGCCCCTCATTTTTGAGCCGGAAGTAGATCCGCCGCTGGGAGGAGAGAAGCCAAGGTCCTCTGATGCCCGTTGCTCACTGAGGCCCCCCTCCACCCCGCGACAGGACGCAGTCCCTATCTGCGTGCCATAGGCCCTGTGCTGCTACGGATGGCTAGAGAGTCTCCAGAAAGGGCCCGGGTACCTTTAGAGACTCCAGGTAGAAGCTCGCCCCTGGGCCTCGTCTGAGTGACCCACGACACAGGGCTCGACACACACAGGGCCCTGCAGGTGTGGACACCTGCTCCACAAGGCCAGGGAGGGGCTTGGCACTCACCTGCCGGATGGGATAGAGGGAGCCGACGTGCTGCAGCCCGCTGTATGTCAGCCAGTTGGTGATCTCCGTCACGTCCAGCAGCCACTGCCGGCCCCGGAAATCGCTGTGCTCACAGAGCACCCAGCTGGGAGCAGGGACGGGAAAGGGCGTGAGAAAAGACACGGAAACCCTCCAAGGCACCAGGCTGGGATCTAGGGACGGGGTGGATCTGGGGGACGCAGTAATGCTATTCGCACCCGCTTTGATGCCTGCTCCACTCAAAGTGTGAAACCAGCAGCATTTCTATCCAAGCAGCAGTGGGGGACTTCACGGCTCCCCATCATCTACCCTGTTTCTTCTAGACTCTCATTCCAAAGCTATTTGCCCATGTGAGTTAATGCTTCCACCCCTGAGTTCATGTTTTTAGCTAGAGTTAAGGGCCTTCTCTGCTTTTTCGATGGTTTAAAATGTTCTGTGAATCAAACCATCCTCTTTTCTGCCGTGCTGCCGTCCGCGAGCTGCTCCTGGTCACGGAGCTCCTATTTCACAGTCCTGGAGACTCTTTTTAACTCTAGCTGAAAACCGTAACTCAGGGTGGCAAACACTTCCGTGAAGCAGTGAGTGCAAGATGCTCAAGAAGGCTCGGTTTTGTTTTATGAATCTGTTTTTCAGATCTGTTTGAACGATTACAAAACTAAAGACGCAACATCTTTTGAGTGTATTTGTCTAGTCTGGCGGCTGTTTTAATCCACAGGGTAGGATATAGCAAATGAATGCACTTTCCAATACATTTATATTGGCTTTTGCTTGGAGCTTGAACTGAATGATGCAGCCCTAGGTTCGTACCATATTGCTAAAGCTTCCAGGTCTTTTCTTCCTGGAGAAGGAGCACTGAGCTCTGAGTGGTGTTGCACTGCACTATCCG